GCTGAGAGTCAGCCCTAAGAAAAAGTGAAGAAGGTGTGTAAGAAATGGCACCACCCCAACTGGGGTGCTCTGAAACCGCTTCCAGACACACTCCAAGCCCTGGAGTGATTCATTTTCCCCTTCAAAGCTGTCACTGATGCTCACTTCTGTAAGACTTTATCCATGTGCACATGCTCAGAGTGGGTGGAGAAGCAAAGGGTGTCATTTGCATTCCTAAGCAGCCTCCACATGCCTCTGGGCATCCTCCCTGCCTTCTCTGGACTAGAAGCCTCTGGAGTGCACCTTGAAAGTGTTGGGGGAGCCTTTCACTTCTCTCTTTGGCCCTTCCTCGAGAGCTGTCTGCCTGGGGAGGAGGGGATGGGCTCCTTCCTTTCAGGATACCCTAGAGGACATTCTAGCTCCCTCCAGGGCCCACAACTGAGAATGAGCACAGTGAGTGCTTCTTAGAGAAGACCAAATTTGCCCAGAACATAGATATATAATAAGAAACAAAACAAAAAGTATGTAGGCTGTTATCCTGTAGCCCGGATGGGACCGAGGAATGAGGAAGAGCACATTGGAAAGGTTCTTGTCGTCTCATCGGTCACAGACAAGGCTGATTTCACTTTCTGAGGCTGGAGGGCCCTGCCTGGAAAATGAGTCTTCCAACCACATTGACTGCTCTTTCTGGAGCCAGAGAACATGCTGAAATACAGAGAGAGACAGACACAGTGTGGACAAAGCACATCAGCTCACACGACATTTTGTCAGATTCAAACATCCCCAGACCCTGGGGATTCCAGCATTAGGAACCGTGTTGCACCACTGACTAGTGTCCTCATCTTACCAGAGTATCTAACCTTTTATGTCAGTTTATCAGAATGTTTAGGTGTTTCACTGTTTTCATCCCTTTTGCTCTCTGATGTCTCGTTCCTTAGCAGTCAGTCATTCCTGTGCTAAATGCAGTAACAGCCAATTTTTTAAAAGCGTACAAACCAAATATCCAATAAGAGAAAATGCAGCTGATAGATCATCATTGGTCACAGAACACACAGCGTGATGTCACTTCTATTTAAATTTAGTAAATACACACAGTACAGGGTACAAAGACTATATAGGAAACAGTAGTTCTCAGAAGGGCTGAGTTGCAGGTGTTTTTGATAGTTCACTGTTAGTCTCTAGTTTTGGATTTGTTCCCATATTGAGCATGAATTGCTTTTGCAATAAGAAAAAAATTAAGCACTAAGCAGGAAAAGGAAAAATAAAAAGAAGGATATGAAATTTATTTAGAACGTGTTAAATTTTTCAAAATCATTTTGGTCAGCTCTACTGACTGTGGCAGAATTTTCATAGGTTTTTCAACAGGACAAAACAAGTTTCAAATCCTGCATCCATAGTACTTGCTCTCAGGAAGCTGTACTTGCAGTTTATCAATTTCTATAATATGTTTCTTAAATCTCATGTGGCTAGACATGAATGTGTCTCAGACGAGTGGAGGGAGAAACGGATAGAAGATGAAGCAGACACAGAAAGCCAACAGGCAGGGGGTCCTCGGGGCTGGGAGCCTTCTGAGGGGGGAGAGCATCCAGGAGGGAGGCAGGAGCCTGGGCTTCCCTGGGGAGTGAGAGGCATCCAGCCCTGTGTGGATACAAGTCTGAGGGCAGCAGGAGCAGAGGGTGATGAGAGAAAGCTCTACCCTAACATGTGATGTCTGTCTGCTGCTGGGCTAGGGGTTGGACGGCCAGACCTTTGATGACTCTTTGATCCTGCGGCTCCCCTTCCAGACCAGCTATTCGTGTTGACAAAGGCCCATATTGCCCTCCCTGCTCCCCATGTGCTTGACTGTCACCAGCAGTAACCGGGACCTCTCAACATTATCTGCTCTTTGGAATAGCCTGGGACACAAAACCTTCCTCCAAACTAGATCTATTGATGCCTTAAGATATCAGGAATTTATTTCCCTTCAGACTCATTTACTTGCACGATAGTTTTCAGCATGGGCCAGTTCATTTCATTCCATGTTAAATTCTAAACTCATGGCTCAGGGGAATTCACTCCCTCTTTCCCTGGATTTCCACATTACGGATGTCCGCACGGTGTTTGTCCTGGCCCTCGAGTTGGGAGAGGCTGGATCAGACTCAGAGTGAAGACAAGAAAAAATGCTTCTTTAGGCTTTATTGTAAATAACAGCGAGTTTGAAGTCAAAAGACAATAGTCAATGGTGACGTGATAAAGTAAACAAAAACAGAAAGGCAAAAAGAAAGTTATTTTGTTCTAAATTATTCCACAGAAACACATTAAAAATCTACAATCATTTCCCAGAATGTCAGTAGAATTTTCTAGAAATACTTCCCCAAGAAAGAAACCTAGGAAGAGGATGCTGGGGGGCAAGGTCACCCTGTGTTCTAGGCTGAGCAGTGAGCGGGTCCGGTGAGTCCTTGTCCAAAGCAGACAAATGGGCTCCCAGCCACGTTCTGGTTCATGGTCAATGCTGAGCTCCATCTGTTACACTGGGGACTGGACGGTGATTTTTGAAACCGTCCATCTCTTTCTAGATTTCCCAAGCAAGCAAGAAATTTCTGGGCTGCAGAAGGATGAAGAGAGGCTGAAAAGAAAATTTTATTCAATAGGGGCCAGCCCTGTAGTGGAGTGGTTAGGTTCACATTCAGCATCTGTGGCTCAGGGTTTTGCTGGTCCAGATCCTGGGCCAGAACTAGCACTGCTCATCAAGCCATGCTGAGGCAGCATCCCACATAGCTCAACCAGAAGGTCCTACTACTAGAAGAGAGAACTATGTACTGGGGGGTTTTGGGGAGAAGAAGAAAACAAGAGATTGGCAACAGATGTTAACTCAGGGCCAATCTTTGAAAAAAAGATTCTTCAATAAATAAGGACACTAGGTGACCAAGAGCAGGAGAGAATTCACGCAGAATGCTTAAAACTGGAAGCCAGCTTTCCCAAATTGCCCCGCCATCATCTCTACACATTGAGAGAGAAAATGCCAGTGGGATGCAGATTGGGAGGGAATAGTGGGACTCCATATGCCAAGCTCAGGGATGTTCCATGAAGGACAGGAAGGCAGGGGGAATAGAGAGGAGATTAAACTGCTGCTGCAGGACTCCCAGGCAGAGGAGGGCTGCACAGTGAAAGCTGAGCTCATTGAAGCGGGTAGTTCAGTCCAAGGTCATCCAGTTCGTTTGCTAATTCACATAGGTGTTGCAGACGTGTTTTCAGCACTTGCTTTATGCCAAGTACTATCTTAATTGCTAGGATGTATCATTTGATACGATCGTGTGCTGGTGATAAAATCATAGCATGGCAATAAGAGCATTTCCAGAGTTTTGACCATGCGCCAGGCATTACTCTAAGCACTTTGCATGGCTTTCTCATTTTATCCTCATGACAACCCAATGAAAACGAAGAAACTAAGGGGCAGAAAGCTACTTTCCCAGATGCACACACACAGGACACAAAGGCCTGAGACAGATGGGGTCCCTGCCCTCAAGGCCCCTCCCTCAGCAAGCAAGGAAAGAACAGACACAAGATGCAGGACGGGCCAATCACCTTTCTGACATTTTGCTGACATTTTCTGCTAATTCTGATTCCTGACTTTTTCGCTCATATTTAGGAAGAATGAATTGTCTTCTTTCCATCCTTCCTTCCATTGTGTCTGTATGTTGATTATTCTATTGGTATATCCTTCCAGTGGTAAACATCACATCTTTTAAACATATACTTAAATGAGAATTTCCCTGTGAATAATATTTTCTTAAAAACAGCCTTAAGTTGCATAGCCTTGTCAAGCATTCATGGGAAATTAATAAAGATAGACTAGTAATAAGTTCTACTGAGTCTTTTTTCATTCAACTCTGTTTCTTTACTCTCATGTCAGCTCACTTGGATCTTTTATTTAATTGATTTGAGTGCATCCTTGAGCAATATTTTCCCAAAGGGCTTCATGCATAGCAATTTCTTGAGTCTGGAACATCCAAAAACAGAGGATTTGTCCCTATAAATGGTATTATATATTACCTCAGCACAGAATTCTACATTCAAGTGATTTTCCCTCAGAAGTGTGAAAACGCAACCTAGTATCCAGTGAGGCAAGTTGTAAATCCCATACACATCTGATTATTGCCCTTTGTTAGCCACTATTTCAGAAGTTTTTACCCGCATCTCTTGACGTCTGAGATGCCCTATAAGGCATATGCAGACATTTTACTTGTAAATATTCAGGCAGATGAGAAATAGGAAAGGTTATCATGTTCCTATCAGGCATTAGTCATGACAGATGAAAAACAAACATGGACACCAGAAACTACAGGCATTGTGAGGGAGAGGCAACTAGATCAAAAGGCGATCAAAGTTATTCTGGGCCGACAAGATCTTTGGCCACCCACCTTCACCTAGTCACACTTTCAAGATAAAAACCTTCTTTCCTCCAATCTGTCTCCTATAAATACAGACTGACTCTGGGCTCCGCATTCACTCAGGCTCCTGCACTGCCATCTGGACCCTGTCCTCCAGGTGACTCACGGCCATGAGGACCCTTGCCCTCCTCTCTTCCCTTCTCCTCTTGGCCCTCCATGCCCAGGCTCAGCCCCTGGGAGAGAAAGATGACCACGTTCCTGCCCAGGACCAGCCTGGGGCCGACGTCCAGGGAATGACCATCTCCTTTGAGGGGGATGAGCGTTCCACTCGAGATGCTTCAGGTGAGAGACCAACCAGTTTGCTGTTAGGATCTGCAGGCCAATTAGAGGGACTTGTCAGTGCATGGAGGCTGGGCTCAAATTGGGTGTGTGGATGAGGTGGGGTGAAGAGTAAGTAATCCTAAGTTTGAAGGTGAGCTGTTGGGGGAGCATGTACATGATAGAGTAGGATCAGAGAAAAAATTTGGAACCTGCGTGACCAACACGTAGTCAGTAAGATTTCTTGTAAGCTATGACAAAAAGGTGAATTCTCTCCACCCTAACATGGCTGATTTTGTCTACTGTAAGAAGACACCTGGACTCTTGGCATATCCCCTTGAGGCTGGCTCTGCCTCTTTGCCCTCCCTCCTTCTCCCTGTGCCTGACCCTCCTCTTCCTTCCACAGGCTCTAAGGCAACACTTGTCTGCCACTGCAGTCGCACCTTCTGCCAAAATTCTTATCAGGAACTTGGTACCTGTACTGGGATCCCTTCTGGCACCCTCTACAGGCTTTGCTGTCGTCGTGGCTGAGCTTTGTGGATTGAGACCCAAAGCATCAAAGGATTCCATTTCAAGACCTGGAAAGGGGTTCACTCTTTGTACCTTCTGCTTTTTCTTAATTCTCTCTCCAAAATAAACTTCAAGCATTGAACGCAGTTTGTTTGTCAATTTCTTTTTTTTTCGTTTTTTGCTTTTCATACAACTTGTTTCTGTGGTAGACTTGTATAGAGAATTCTGTCCAGAATGGTATTGTTAAGTTAGCTGGTCTTTGCCTCCCAGTGCTGCAAAATTTGAGAATTATACATCAACAACAAAAGCAGAAAAAATAAAAATGATTGTTAATCACAGCAGTGTTAATCTACAAAATTCTATCTATTCATAACAACGCTCCAATGAGAAATCTGACTATAAAGCGTAAGAGAAGGTGGTGTTGACTCAAAGGAAAAGTGGATCCAATGGGCTTGTTTACTTGTTCCTTAGATTGAGAGCCTGGAGGGCAGTGATATACAGGATATTTTCTTATTCTAAGAATATATGTTAAGTACAGATATATATTTTTTCTAACTGTGTCAACAAGACAGAGTGAACTAAAGCTTCAGTGAGCCACAAACAAGAAAAGAGTAAGAAGTGTGCCCAAAATATAAAATATTGATCAACAGCAGTATCCTCAGTTAACGCCCAGAAAGAAGGGGAGTCCAGAAGCTGGTCAGTAGAGGTGGTCATGCCCAATGCCCAGTGAAATAATTGGTCTCCCTTGGAATATGAAAAGGTAAATTAGGCCAATATCCAATGAAGGAGTTGGTCTCAATTCTCTATATCTTCAAAGACATTGAATCTACTAATTATAATAACCCCTACTAATTTTAATGAAATTCTAGCAAGAAATAGTGTGTTTGCAGTAATGCTAAAGAACCAAGTCAATACATCATCATGATGAGACGATGGCTCCTACACTTACTGTCCTACAAAAACTTAAAGAACACCTTATGTGTCAGAAAGGCAAGTCCCTAAACTCAAAGTTTCTATAAAAGGCAGGGATTTAAGAGCAGCATGATACAACAAAAGAAATTATTTTTATTACAAAACATGTCTCATCCTGATAATAGCCAGTAGCTCAGGTCTGAATCAACATGGAGACACACCAAGTGCCTTTTCCTGATGGAGAGTCAGCTGTTTGACACAAAGATCTGCAAACTCATTGAGCCTCCTCCTGGAGGGAGGAAAGATGCAGCAGAAAGGGACAGAAGAGAAGGAGGAATAAACAGAGTGCTCTTGTTGCCTTAAGTCACTTTGATGTTCCTCTGATCTAGCAGCTTCACCCGTGGCCATAGGTCCACCTACATACTGGACGTCTGTGGGTACCATCCCTACGTCAAAATGATAAGGATCCCAATAACTCCCCTTGGAATGGACAGTTCACCTGAGAGAGGGCAGCTGGTCTCCTGGACACTCTGACTCATAGCACACGACAACAGGAGTCCTTTTTGCGCCAGAAAAACAGTAACAAATGGAAGATTGAGTTTTACGAATTTTTGTGTGAAAGACACAAAACTCAAAAAATGTGAAAGAATTTTTTAGACGACCTAAAAATCAAAAGTTTCTGCATGGGGAAAAGAAGGCAAAAGCCACCATGACAACATCTCGAAACTATTTCCAATACTTGTGACAAAAAGCTCCTTTCCTGAATTGACACAGAGCTCCTAAAAATCACCCCAAATAAATATGCCAACAATTACATTTCCCAAAACAAGCAAAAAAGAAAGGACATTTCAAAGGAAATAAACACAAATACCTCTCAGACAGGAGAACATGTTGACCCTGATTCCTGAGAGAAATGCAGATCAAGAAGACACTGAGACCCCAATTCTTCCCTCTCAGATTGGGAAAGACTAGAAAGCCTCACAGGCCACAGATCAGCCTGCTTTCAGCCATAAACACCAGGAAACCCAACAAACAGTGGCTTTAGAAAGAGAAAAGTGTGTTTTTCCCATGTCAGAACAATCTGAAAGTGGGCGGTCCAGGAGGGTGAGGTGGCTCAACTATGTTCTCAAGGACCCAGCATCATGTGCACCTGCTCCCATGTGCAATCAGGAGCTGTCTTCTTCGTGGGAAAAGTACAGCTATTGCAGGTCCAAGTGCTCTGTCATCCAAGCAGAGAGAGGGAGGAGAATATAAAAGATAGCACAGCAACGGATGTGAGGTAAGAAGAAAGATTTATTTTATTTCTTAAAAAGGGTTCCCTTCCTAGCCATGACATTTCATTGGTCAGAACTCTCTGTAGGGGCAACTCTGAGTGGCCAGAAGAGTCTAGGACATTAGGTATTCACATGGCTGCCCAGATTCTCGGCAGGAAGAAAGGATGATGGAAATTGGCTAATCCCAGGGCCTCTATAACACTCTCCACTGTGGGCAGGGAGCATCAGGGTTGCCGTATTTCTGTGAGTGCTGTTGGCACAACCTCCCTGGAGGACAATGGAGTAACAGGTGTAAAGGTTTGAGATCTGTTCTTTAACCCAGCAATTCTACCACAGGAAATTTGTCTAAAAGTTGGAGTCACTTATGAGCCAGATAATACGTATATAAAGATATTCACTACACTTTTGTCCTAACTGCAAGAGTTTAGAAATAACCAAATTGTAGCAATTTTCTATGTTTTATCAATAAAAATATTAACAATGGAGTATGACAACAGTAGATTAGTGTAGAGTTATTAAAAGTAATGACCGAGTTCTGTGTGTGTTGATATAAAATTGTTCAAGCTAAATAATGAGGTGGATCAAGCAAACTACAGAATAATGTGTTAACAATGGGGTTTCCCAGAAAAGGCTGAGGGACGGGGCTGGGAGAGGAGAGACTGCCATTTGTCACTCACTATTCATCCTTTTGAATTTTGTTCCCTGTTCATGAATTAAAATTTTTTAAAATTAAGAAAATTCAAAGATTTTGGGGTGCTGCAGAAACATTGATTATTTTGATATTTCTCCAGATGGAGAGATGTAACTGGTGTATATCCGTGTGATGTGTTTAGATCATACTGACTTCTTGAAATAAATCTCCCCTTTGGCTTTAGTCTGAACAGTCTTTACCAAGAATCCCACTGAGCTCATTTCCCCCTAGCCTGCTGAGTCATTGTCCTCTCCACGCTCAGGAGCCTACTCACCCCAGAAGCCCTCCTTCTTAGGACTGTAGTGCCCCTGAATCGTGAAATCTTTTAAACCTCCACTCCCCTGGGGTCCAGTTCTGTCCCAGGCTGTAGAACTCCAGAGATGAGCAGGACCCATCTTTAGAAAAGAAGAGGGCTTTGTTCCATGAACTTTTCAAACGAAAGCACTATTTGCTGCCTTTTTGGAAGAATAAAAAGTCCATATTCAAGCAGATAGGAAACAGAGAATATACCAAGCTCCTTATCATCGTTATCAATTTGAAACAAGTGCAGACACTAAACACACAGCCTTGTGCTTGATGAAAGCTGTTCGAACAGAGGAGCATCAGAGAGACTGGAGGGCACAGCAGCCTGGGCCCATCCCCAGGCAAAGGTCCCCCTTCGCTGACTGCGCTGAGTGTCTCTGAGCCTCCTCCTCTCAGACCCAGAAATACAGGTGATTCTGTGCTCTCCACTCACTCAGGCTCCTGCTCTCCCATCCAGACCTGGAACTCCAGGTGACTCACAGCCAGGAGGACTCTTGGCCTCCTCATTGCCCTTCTCTTTTGGGCCCTCCAGACTCAGGCTGCACCACTGGGAGAGAGAGCTGACCAAGTTCCTGCCCAAGACCAGCTTGCGACCCAGGTACAGGACACAACTATCTCCTATAAGGGGATGAAGCTTCTGTTCGAGAAGCATCAAGTGAGACCCCTGAAGTTGTGTTGTGGGGGTCTGCAGTCCATTGTACCACACACTAGCCACAAAATCACTCAGAATGGAAGACATGGGATTGAGAGGCTCTTCAAGGGCTCTTTGAGCAACAAACGGTTAGATTCTATGACACGAGCTTGTGCAACACAGCAACTTCATCAGCAAAACTTGAAAAGCCTGTTCCAAGGGCCTCAGTATGTAGAGACCAGGCTTGAATCAGGTGTGTGGATCAGGTTGGGTGAGGTGTAGGTAGCCCGAGTTTAGAAGCAGATTGTTGGGGGGAACAGGAAATAAGCATGGACATGATAGTCAAGGATCAGAGAAAAATTATGATCCTGCATGTCCAACACACAGCCAGTAAGATTTCTTGGGAGTTACAACAACAAGGTAAATCGTCTCAACCCTAGCATGACTGACATTATCTATTTTAAGTATGCACACCGCCTCTTAGTCTATCTCCTTGAGACTGGCTCGGCCTCTCCTCCCTCCCTCCTTCGACTGTGCCTCGCCCTCCTCTTCCTTCTGCAGGCCTTCAGGGAACAGCCACCTGCACCTGCAGACGCTCTCCTGTCTGCTCTAGCAACGAGCGCCCCTCTGGGACCTGGAGAGTCAAAAAGACCCCTCACGCAGCCTAAGCTGTCATCACAGAGCTTGTGGATGGAGACCGAAAGCAGCAAAGACTCCAGTAGAAGAGCTGGAAAAGGGGGACTCTTTGTACCTCCCACCTTTTCCCAAGTCTCTCTCCAAAATACACTTTGAGCATTAAACTCAGTGTGTTTCGATTTTTCTCCTCTCTCCTTTTTTTGACCTTTTCAGATGGTTTATTTCTGTAGTTCACTTGCACAGAGAATTCTGTCCACAGTGGTCCTCATTAAGTTAGCTGGTATTTGCATCTCAGTACCACACAACTTGAGCATCATACGCTGATAACAAAAACAGTAGAAATGAAAATAATTATCAATTACAACATTCTATAGCTATAAAATTGGATCCATTCATAATGACACTCAAAAGAGGGAAGTGACTATGAAATCTACCGTAAGGTGTTGTGACTCAAGAAAAGGTGGCTCCAATGGGCTACGCTGACTTGTTTCTTAAATTTAAGAGGTGAGAGGGCATTGATATATAGGAATATTATCCTTGCTTTTAGCAGGAATGCTATGTTTAGATATATTTTGTTTTCTAACTGTATCAATAAGAGAGAGTGAATTAAGGCTTCAGTGGGCCACAACTCAGGAAAAAGTAAAATTTGTACCTCAACCCATAAAATACTAACCAGCATGAGTGGTCTCAACTAA